AGCCGCCGCCGCTTCCCCGAGCTCGCACCTCGTGCCATGCTCGAGCCCGGGCCCGATGCTCGCCGGAGGCCCATACCAGCAATCATGCCCTTCGCCTCTGCCGCCCCATCACGCCGCCTACCATCCCCATATGTCGCACTCGCACCCCCAACGGTAGTACGCGCTCGCCGCTCGTCGGCCCTTCGCGCTCCATCCTCCCTTCCCGCCGCATTTCACCTTTTAGGATCTTCTAAATTGCTTAAAGCAATTTGTATCGCGTCGCGTACGTTCGATCAGCGATGCTGACGATGCTGAAACGCGTGAAATTGCTGTGAGTTTTCATGTAGTACATATTCGGAAGAGAGAGAGATTTTTCTCGTGTTCGTTCGATGCTCGTGGATTCGGTTTGATTGAGAGTAACGCGAGCGGTAATGGTTATTGTTATTTACAAGAAAATTTGTGCAATTTATGTTACGTACGAATTGAATTACGATTAGGTATCGTGACGTTCGTGAAATATTGTGCGGTGCGTGTTGGTCGAATTATATTTCATTTTGAGCGCGGAGTTAAAAGAATCTTTAATTAACAACGGTCTAATTTGGCGAATTTTAGAGCCCAGATTGCTACAAAATGAGACAAATCATCGTTTAGATGTCCGCGCGTAACATTTTTCGTATTTTTAAAATATGCTTCAACACATCCTGCAAATTTTTGGTGCGTGTTTGGGTCATTTTTCACAATTAACTCTGCTTTCCTGAGAAATACGGTGTACAACTATTTTAACGTACGCCAACGCGAGGTCGCGCGCGGCTTGTAGATATACTGAAATAATTTCTCTTTGGGCATATAACACTGACGTAATTTCCCTTTAGACGATGTATTACTTGTATCGCGCCGGCGAGCGTGCCGTAGAGTCACGTATGATATTTATTAAATTATATACGATGGGCGCGCAAAAGATTGTAGGCTTCCCTTGCGATCGAGTATTCTTCAACGTTTGGTCTTATATGTACTGAAAAAAAATGTACTAAATCTAAAGACATATTTATTTGAATAGTACTAACATTTACTTTTAGTAAATAAATATTTACTTAAAATAAAAAATAATAGTTAAATCAAATGGTTTTTGTATAAAATGAATATATATTTATATCCAATAAATATATATTTATTTAGTAAATATTTACTTAGAACTATTCTAACAAATATTCTTTTTTAATTTAATATTTTTTTTCCAGTGTGACCACACGATCGATTTCCGCGCGCGCAAATCTAGTCCAATCTTTCGACACGTTTTTACTCAAATGTATATACTTAAATATATATCCACGCGTGTTACATACATATATGTAAGTAAATATATGTATATCGCCTTCTTATATATACATGGTCTATCTAAAAAGTTACCGAACTTTTTTTCTACATGTCATCTAATATATTATCTATTGAAATAGTGTGAAATGATTTCTATGAAACTTAATGTCCCTAATTCTATAAAGTTACATTTTTTTTTGCGTTATGTAATTCATTTATTATATCGTTAAAAGTAAAAAATTTTTAAATTCGTCAAGAAGAATAATTGAACAAAAATATTAAACAGTGTTCACAAAAAATGTGTTTGATCGTCTACTGTATTCGTTTTCATTCTTTTTCCAAAGTTGATAGTGAAGAGATACTCTAATACAATTTTTAAAATTGTGAAATACAAATGGTTTCGAATCAGATTATTTTTTTTCATTTCGAAAAAGTGTACAATATAAAAAAATTATACAATTGCTATAAAGACTTTATTACTTCAGATGGAATATATTTTGAATAATTAATAAATAAAATTAGAAAAATCACACGAGTAATTGAATTTTAAATAAAGTTCGAAAACTTTTGAGACAGATTGTGTATATGTACATATTGGTGAATCTCGATTAAATATTGCGTGCTTTGAATTTTGTGATCTCGCGCGCGAAAGGGTGGAACGACAGAAGCTCGCTGTATAATTGAAATGTGAAAAATAGAGTGATTTCTATTTTGCAACGATTACATAACGAAAGAATGCAAATCCGCCGTCAGCGATTTTAGAAACAAATTGCAGACGGATCGTGATCGATGATCTCGGAAATCAGATTGAGCGGATTGTCGATGAGATGAATGTCGTTCAATATCTATATATGATTAGATTTCCGTGGTAGGCGAAGTCCAAAGCTCGGCATATTAGATGAAATACGATAGTATTTGCATCAACGAGAGTCACCGTGCGATAGAAAGACATTGCGAGGAAAAATATCGTTATTATATATAATTAATGGATTAATTAATTAATTATTTTATAGATTATAAATATATAGCGTAACACATCGTGTGATCAATTACTCGGTGAAAATAATGATAGAATTTCGAGTACTCCATCTAGTACTTGTTCGTCCAACAGCTCTCTATTTTATTTGTCTCTTTCGTTTTTTTTTTGTTTACTTTTTTTATTTAACTTAAATATCGTATTATTTATTGAGGAAGTCGACATTTTTTATTTATTAAAAGAAAAAAATATCGTTATTGTAAGCCGATGTTGTTCGCAGCGTCGGTGTCGATACTCTTTTTTTTTTTTTTATATCGTGTACTTTACATGCGTTGTAGAAAATACTCCTTTTGTCTCTCTTCGCGAGGGATATTTAAAGTACTTATTTATCTCTATTGATTTTATCGAGGAGAAAAAGTCACTATTCGAAAAATCATGCGACAATGAATTTGATTCATCGAATCGGTGGTGTGAGTGCGAATTCGGCGGTGCACGCTTAATACTGTAACGCATTTCTTTTTTTTATTGAGCATTATTGTGTCTCGTCCATTGTTTCTTTTTTTTTATTGTTTGCCGTGTAACGTGTTGTGTATCGCAACTGGCATGTGTAGTTATTTGGATTGTCTTTTCTCGCAGAATAAGTAGCTAGTATTTAGATTACCTTTTAATTTAATCCATCCCCTCTCCCCACAATTTTTTCTCCTGTATATCAATCCCATTCATCGACATTGTGCATGCGTACGTATGTATGTATTATTTGCTGATATTCTGTATTATATATCGTGGGAAAGAGAACCGAGGAGAAGGCAAAGGTAAAAAGAGGAACAAGGCCGGGAAGCGAGGGCCTTTAGGACCCAATCAAATAGATATATAGAAACTGTAATCTACCGCGCGTCTCGACATGCAGAGAGTACAAATAATAATAATAATATCGATTATGATTTTAACGATAATCTGCGAATAATGCGGCTCTTTCACATGATTAGTTTGTATTTTAGCATTTTTGTACATAGCATAGTAACTGTAAAAAATACTGTGATAATATTTATATATTTTTACGCCTATGAAAACACATACACACATACATACATACAAATTTCACCTTTATCATCTTTGACAATATAGTCCCTGCGATCAAGTGACTTGATTTTCTGCTGATAGATTCTCATTGTGCACGATCTTACCGATGTCATTTACTCTCGCGGGCCAGGTAGGTATTTCACAAAATTTATAGTTTCTTCTGCGAATTCGTATTAATTTTTAACTGAAAAAATTCTGTTGATTTGTGCGAGATAAGCTTTTAAATTTTCAAGTAAATAACAGGAGAAATTTCAGAGGTAAGAATCTCACCAAAGTATGGAGAAGTAAAATATTATAGAATATTTTTCACGATACATACGAGAATTTTTTTTCTATAATTATATGTGAAACTCTTTCGGCTATTATTGATAATTCTTTGAGAATTATTCTGACTTCTGAAATATTTCCAGATACGTTCGCGTAAACTCTTCTTGCGAAATACTCCGTTGAGTCACTCGTAAAAGATTCTGAATAGTAACGGAGATGTTACAATCTTATATTTCGCGTTTCGGCCACGGGCCCGACATATGCCTATTTTTGACAATCTGGTTCGGGATATATTTAGAGGTCCAGAAACATTCCGCAGTATGTTAGGGATTCCTTTATTTCTAACGGTGCGTTAGGACTATCATGTATATTATATCGAGAGTTCAATATTATTATTGCATGGCAGTAATCTGGGAAATAACAACGTCATTCAATGCACGAAGATGAGATGCGCGCGCGAGGACGGAAGCGGAAGGTAGGTTGCGTTTCAATCAAAATAATACGCATTCGGTATATTTCTAATAGAGGCATCTGGCTATTGCTTAATGTATCTTTTTTATCAATTAGTTAATAATAACAATACATGTGCACGAAGAATGTCGAACAAGCAGTTTAGCATGATTTCGATGATATCGCGTCTCGATTGAAGTCAAACATTAAGAATAGTATCTTCGTGAAGATCGAGATTATTGAAAAAAAAAAGCCATCGCAGTACAGCGAATAGCAGATACGTTGCATCTCTTACGCGCAATATGGATGCAGGTAATATTTATCGCATGATGTTTTGTTAGTACATTAGCTAGCGTTAATAGTAAGTAATAATTAATGCAGATTACGAATATTGTATCCCAAAATACAAAACGATGCGTTGAATGTGTCCATGATTTTATTTTATGTCAGTACGACATAACGCTTTATCCAAACTTACAAACGCGAGATGTAAGTTTATATTAAGCACGTAGCTTGTAAACTATATCTATCTCTTTTTTGCGTTTGTGTGATTTTGTTTGTGAGAGTAAAGTTGTGAATAACAAATGCCTGATGCCCGGTTAAAGGAAGCGGAAGTAAAAGTTAAAGGATAAGAAACGTAAGTCAAGATGGCGTACGACAACATGCAGTTTATGGAGAGATCCTCATTCTTCGATTGAATGCCATCCTGTCCGTCATGAGATCGTTCTTCATTTTGTTTTTCGAAGAGAAAAAGGTAGCTGCAAATATTGATCTACAAATTGTCAGAAATTGTCGGATTTTTTTCTGATTATGCTGATATTCTTCGTTCATTCCTTCGTCCATTTCTTCGGCTAGGAGGGTGCATTTTCTCAGGGTTTACTCGCAGATGGCGCTCGCGTATTCTTGGTACCGGAAATGCGTATGGAGCTTTCGATATCCCGAGGGCAACTGTGAGGTCAAAGAACGGTTTATGATTTAATGGGCGTAACGATGTCCATGAATGCCGTCTCATTCGTTCGTTTGTTCGTTCGATTGTTTCTTCGCCAGGGTTGCAGACGAAGAAGACGCGCGTCCAGGTGTATCGCCTCGCAGAAGAGAGAGAGAGGGGAGGGGGAGGGGAGTAAACGCGAGGGAGGGAGAGAAAGAGAGAGGAATAGAGAACGGGCCTCGCGAGATGTCTCCGTGAGGGAGACTGAGAGAGAGAGAGGGAGAGAAAGAAAGAGAGAGGGGGCGGGGAGGGAGAGGGAACGAGACCGCGCACTCACGCACGTACGCACGTACGCACGCACGAAAGGTGGAAGCGGAGTTCCATATACGGTCACCTTTGTCAAAGCCCGGTTGTCGCCATATACAGGCAATGTTCGCGATGGCAGACACTTATATAGAGCCCGAGTTAAGAGTCAGGAATGTTGCTTTTTGTCGCGCCTTCTCTACACATACACGCGCACCCTCCTGCCTGTTCCGCAGTAAATGGCGGGGTAGGAAAAGCGATGAGTGAGAAAAACGCGCACGGCGCGTAGACGGAAGCGAGAGAACGCGGCCGTGCGCTCGTCGCCGCGACTTTTCGAGCTTTCCAATTGGTACCGCACTTTCTCGACTTCCCGCGTACGGACGATTCGACGAGCATGTGAGACGATTCGCACACGCATTCCAGCCACAACGCTGGATAGGTGCAACGCTGGATCGGAGCAAATTGCAAGACGAAAAACGTGTATTCTTCTTCAACTCGAGTCGTGAGATCTTTAACAATAGAGTTTACAGTAATATAACTGGAGGAAATTAATTGTTTGTAATTCCGTATATATTTAACGACGTATGTGATTGAAAATGTTACTGGAAGTGAAGAGTCTAAAGATTTGGAATTTCTTATGATGAAGAGATTCTTTTGACCTTTGCTGTAAAAGAAGAATCGATCCGTTATAACATTTACAAATTTATTACACATATCACTCAACGTAATACGGTAGAACTGTAATGGTAAAGTATATCGTTAGGATTTCTTTCATATTTACGTCAATTACAATTATAACAGTGTCAGCTTTCACGACAAAAATAAATAAATTATAGTAGTCAACGTTTAACCGGCAGATGAAACAGGAAGTCCGAAATCTTATATATATATATCCTATAATATATTAATTACTCGAAGCAATAAGAAACATGAGATAAACCTGGAGCACAACTTCGCATAACGCATAATACATAAAGTACAAGAGAATCGATCAATCGGAGTCTTTCCTTTCCATTAAAAAAAATTCTGATTGGTTGATTCTCTCATGGGCTTTCAACAATTACAGTCAGATGTGAACAAAATAATTGACTGTGATTGGTCAACTTCTTACGGCTTGAGACTCAAAGCTTACGCAATGGTTTATAGAAAGCCCAAAAGACTATGATTGGTTGATTCTCTGTGCTCCGGTCTGTACACGTATTTTGCTCTTTCGCTTGTCGACAAGCAAACTCTGCTACGAGTTCCCGTCGCGCAAACGGGGCAGGAAAGTCTCGCGCAAGAAGCGTTCCCCGGCTTCGAGGGAGAATCCCCGTCGCGAGCGAATCCGCGAAGAGGATACCTCTTTTCCGCGGGCGCATCGAGCGCACTCGCGCGAGTGGAGTCCGTGAGAGATGGCCATATAAGGAGCGCGAACAAGATGCTCGCGCATCTCTCTCTCCGTCCGCTAGGTAGGTAGGTAGGTAGGTAGGTAGGTAGGTTGGTAGGTAGGTAGGTAGGTAGGTAGATAGGTACACACGTTTGTTGTATGTATGTACTTATGTATCATTCGGTAGCGTATCTACGTTTCTCTGCTTGCGTCGCTGTTGTCGTTCGGACTGACAATGATCCTCTTTGCGAGAGAACGCGTACCCCCGCGTTATCCAACCGCTCCGATCCCACCCTCGCCTTGCTCCGCTGACGACGAATCGTATTCGAGGCGGATACTCGATAATATCGCTCTTCTCTTTCTTGGTTTCAGGAGGAAGGCGCGTCGCCCAGATCCGACGTCTGCGCTAACGAGAGCGACGGCGAGAGCAGCGACGGTGACTCTCCCGTCGTCCCTAAGGATCCTCTCAAGATTACCAATCATTCGGGTGAGTCTCGCCATAGGATCGCGAGGATCGTTGGAGAACAGCTGTGCTTGGATTAGAATTCATGAAGCCTGGCTTCTCTCGTCCTCCCCTATGAACCCTGGTACGCGTCGAATATACTGTACGCTTTCTAAGATATTAGGGGCGGTATTTACAGTCCGTTATTATTTCAAGACTGTCTTAAGTAATGTCTTAAGACGTTAATATGGCCCTCTGGCCGGTATTCAGTCATTCCTTTATTCAAGACTGTCTAAGTTCTATCTTGAAGTGTCACGAATCATTCAGAGAGCTGTATTAGGGGCTCCGCACAATAAAAGGAACAGAGAATAAGAATTTCAGTCCATCAGAAACTGTGGAATCGAATTATGAATACTCACTTCTGATTGATTCGTGACTTCTTAAGACTGTATTTAAGACGGTCTTGAATAACATCTGACTATGAATACGACTCATATATATATGTAGCATTCGTCGCGTATACGAGAGCGAGAATTTTTTTTTAATTATAATTTATTTTTAATTATCTTTGTCCGAGCTTTGTTTGAACAGGATTAGACGTCTATTCCTCCAAAAGAGAGATATTTCAGGATTTAAGAAGTTGAAGTCTCGATGGAGATAAATAGATGTCCACAGTCTTTCCGATAGGAAAATGTTTATGAAGGTATACGATAAAGTTGTATATAAAATTTAGAAATATAGATTTTTTATAAAATATTAGAATCGTAAAATTTTAAAGAAGTAAAGAATTAAATGTTTTCGGAAGTAATTATAAAATATTTATATTTAAAATCTGATTTGTCCGTTTTTACACAAATATTATTTAGAAATTTTATTCTTCCAAAACTGCCTAGGAAATCATTTTCGAGCAATTTTCGTTAATTCATGATGCTGATTTAATTTCGTGTTTCTCTTGGATGTTTCATGTATACGTTCAACTTACATTGAAGTTATGAAAAATTATACTTTTTTTTTCCGAATAGTCAAGCATTGTAAACATTTAAATACACGGCTTCTATTGCGATATATTTGTTCAAAAATAGTAGGAAATTATCGCGTCCTTGGAAATTACGTATTACAAACATGCGGAAAGGAAACGTAGATTAAGAACAGCATACTCGTATGTTTGATCTCGTTAATTCGTGCATTTCCTTGAGTCAACAAGGTTTGCAAATCTCCATAAGAGAAACGGAACACTTTTGAATATCAGTCGCGTTATTACAGAGTAAACCATATCATTCGTCACTACACGGGCACGATTATTAGCGTTTGCGCAAGGTACACTTGGATTAAGTTCTGCGGTTACGTCGATTTTCTGTCATTCACGGCCGCGATTATTCATGATACCTTTCGCTGTTCCACATGGAAAGATAGGCCTCCCACGCAATAGATTTTTATAGAATTCTGCAAACGTGTGTTTTGCAAATTGTTGAAAATTACTAGATGTACATAAACGTAAGCTGTGTATCTTGACCGGAGGGGTAAATAGAACGATCTTTTCATAGAACGATAGTATTATTACCGATTATCTTTCCTCTTTGCCAAAAGTAGAAATCGTTTTCGTCTCGAACTATCAAGATCGCAATTAAGAAACGATCCGAGATTGCCGGATTGCAAAATCAGCGTGTCGAAGCAGCCGTCCTCCTCCGCGCCGTCTGTATGCTAATCGCGTAGTAGTCTAATTGTCGTCGATACCATTCGCGTCGCGCTTGACCTCAACGCACATTGATAACGAACAGCTGGTCGGATGGAGGTAAGCGTCGTAAAGTAAGCGCGAGCGGGGCGGGGTGAACATTCGCGTACAGTGCACGCATCGGTGCGGCAGACACGAGAGGAGGAGAGGAGGAGACGGAGAAAGAGGGAACGAAGCGTGAGAAAAGGTGGGAGGGAGGTGATGGTGGTGGTGGTAGTGGTAAAAGAGGAGGAGGTGGAGGAACGGGACGGGGGGGAGGGAGAGAGGAGACGTTTAAAATGCGAAAGGCGTGCGAGCGATGACGGGGTTATCC